GGAAATTGACAGCCCGATACGCTTTGAGGCTGTCAATTTTCCGTTTGTAATCTAAAATGACTGAAAATTGCAAATTTCGCAAGGCTATATTATCCGCATTTTACAACGTTTCGCAACGAAACTTTGGAATATTACTAATTTTGTGATGCTCTTTCAAGCTGTCGTAAAATTTTTGTCCAGACTTGTCTAGATCAAAATGTTGTCTATTATACGCAAATGGTCAATTGTCCAGTGGAAATGCGGGATTCCAACAAAATCTCGATATGAAAGCTGCTACACTAATGGACCTATTCCCTGATGAACAAAATTTTGATCTAGAGAAGTCTAGACAAAAATTTCATCACGGCTTGAAAGAGCATCACAAAATTAGTAATATTCCGAAGTTTCGTTGCGAAATTGTTGTAAAATGCGGATAATATAGCCCTGCGAAGTTTGCCGTTTTTCAGTCATTTTGTATTACGCACGGGAAATTGATACCTTTTTTCAGAAAGCGGTATCAATTCCCCGTGCGTAATACAAAATGACTGAAAAAACGGCAAACTTCGCAGGGCTATATTATCCGCATTTTACAACATTTCGCAACGAAACGTCGGAATATTACTGATGCTCTTTCAAGCTGTGGTGAAATTTTTGTCTAGACTTGGCTAGATCAAAATTTTGTTCATTAGGTAATAGGTCCATTACAAGTCAACTGCTAAAATTTTCCTTGTATTTGGTTTTTAGCTTAGTTATATCATCTCGGATAAACAGATGGTTCGTGATTTAATACTGGTGCATTCTGCATCTGCTTTTCTGCCTACGTCAGTGCTGAACGATGATGGACGCCTGACAACATTGAAAGGCTGGGATGCTGCCGTCACTAGCAATGTGAGTTCATTTATTTCCATCGAACTACACGCGTAAAAATCTCACATCTTGTATAGCAAGTGTGCTAACAAGCCGTCAACAAGTTATGTTCGCACTGCTTGTCCCAAGTTGTCAACAAGTTTGGAACATGCTGCTAACAGCTTATAACAAGCTTGTTCATATTATTGTACAAGTTGTTTAAACAGCTTGTAACAAGCTTGTTGATATTATCAGATTTGTAGCAAGGTTGTTCCAACAAGTCTGACACAGTCATGATATCACAATATTGTACAAGTTGTTTAAACAGCTTGTAACAAGCTTGTTGATATTATCAGACTTGTAGCAAGGTTGTTCCAACAAGTCCGAT